ATCTCACACTGACACAAGACCTGTTTGAAGATCAAAGCCAGACTTGTGCTTCCACATCCAGGATGATATGACAGCGAGTTTAAAGCCTTGCTTCTGTATGCAAGCAGAAAGAAATAAAGACAAAAAGAATCAAGAAAAGAGAGGGACAAAGATGGAATTAAGTATGGGGCAGGGCTTTGATTTTCTTGATTGGTTATTAACTAAGCAATTAAAAATTATTTAACTTTAAGAACATCCTGCTTGTAGAAGAGTGCTTTTTAAAACATTTTTGAATACATGAGCTGCCTCTGCCAAGAGATTTTGTTTATTAACAAAACAGCCATCATAATTATCTTTAAAACGTGGCAAAATACAGCAAACCTAGACATGTTATAATTACCACAGTTAATGAATATGAAACATGTCAAAGCTAGCTCCTGTCATCATCCACTCGATTCCTCTTGTAATAGTGAGAAAACATCTGAATCACTAGAGCACTATTACCGTCAAATAAAGACCCTTCAGAGGCTTTATGTCCCACAGTATTGACATTCAGATACAAAATCTGACAAAATATTAAGATTTTGTCTATTTATAGTTTTATTAGTGCACAGTGGGAAAATATACTACTGTTCAGAAGTTTGAAGTCGGTAGGATTTTGTAAATTCATTTGATCCAAAATACAGTAGAAACTAATATTGTGAAATATTATTACAATGTAAACAATGTTTTCTATGTTAATGTATTTAAAAATGTAATTTATTTCTGTGATTGCAAAGCAAAACAGTATGTGGTACTTATTATTGTGGTAATTGTGATTTTTTTTTTCTTTTCAGGATTCTTTGATGAATTGCTCAAAAAATAACATTACTGTCACTTTGCATCAACATATTGCATCCTTGCTGAATTCAAGTATTAATTTCTTTAAAAAGTAAATCATGTGATAGGGAAAGTCATAATTGTTTTACTGTGAAAAAATATAAGAGCTAGAAAGTCCATTTTTAGCTGAAATGGACAACATTTTTAAAATGTTAAGCTATTGTAAGCTATTGAACCAAGCCAACCAAATAACCAAACTTAATGAAAAACAAACACTGTGTACAGTGTGCAATAGACAAAAGTGTCCTCAAATTCTGGAATGTTGCATAATTTACTTCACAGCAGATACAATTTATACAGTGTAGCTCCATCTTAATTCGGTAATTAGAAATTATTCCCATTATTTTTTTAATCTCACAATGAAATAGTGTTTATTTTGGCTGTAAAAATATTGGCCTAGAAGAAAACAATAACACAATATCACACACTCCCCCTCATTCTCTCTGCATATTGAGGGCTTCAGAGATAACAGCTTCCAGATGTTCCACATTCTCACTCCGTCATTGCCTTGCTTTACTTCTAGCTGCCAAAGATGTGACATTATACCATGAATTGTTGTCTTTACGTCCGTTTCTGTCTGTCACCATGCTTGGGTAACTCAGAGGGTTTTGGGAAGGCAGAAACATTTTCACTCACAAATTCAGTGCAAGAGTTTGTGGGAAATGGTCGAGTCACACCACATGCTCTTTTAATGAGTTTTAAACATCTTTTGGCATGCTATCTCAGCATTTCCGAACTAAATTGATTTCTTGTTTCCTCTTTAAGTCCCAATTAAGATAAAAATTATCTATGGGCTGCTGCAAGCAATTAATCAGTACTGTTTATACAGCAGACCACATTTTCATACATTTTAGAACAGAATGTGGCCATAGATTTCTTTACTTATCCATCAAACACTGTACAATGGTTTTACTATGATTTTTGGTGTTCTGTGGTAGCCTACTGTTCACCAAGTAGCTTTTAATAACATGCCGCATGAATATGGTAACATTCAAATACCAAAAGGGCTTTTCACACTTGAATTATTTAACCCTGGTTCATTCTAAACCCCAGGTAAACGGAATACTGGGTTATCTTGCTTCACGTTTACACTGCTCATACTAGGTGTTCATAAACTGATGTTTCACACTAGCTACATTCCTAAACTACAGTTCTTTTTTTGCATACTTGCATTTTGACTACCAGCCCTGTTGAAAAAAACCAGCATATGCTGGTTTTTTCAAGAGGGAGCTCCTGTGTTTTCCATCACCATTTGACATTTTCCCCTCAAACGCGTTCAATGCACGTGAATATGAGGCACGTGGCGCAATGTGAAGCCCTAATTTATATCAAAGCACCTTGGTATTGCCTTCATTTAAATGTCCATGTTATTTGTCACCTAACTAAGATATGGTCTATTACTGACATCTATTGGTCATATAAAGAATGACAACTATAGTTCTTTAGTTTTATGACCAAGTCCTCTCCAAATGTTTGTTTGGCACATTGTGTATTCACATAGATATTCTATATTCTGCATTGTTTATTTTTAAAGTTTATTGATAATTTATTTTCTGCAACCAAAGACTACTAAACATAGCCACATGTTGATAATTAAATATGAACAAATTAGTGCGGGGGGGAAAAACAGGTTTTAAGCTATAGTTTATACCTAAAAATGTATAGGCTATGTTTATATATTGAAATAGGTCAATCATGTCTAAAGCACATGCCTTGATTTGTTGTTTCCTTCAGTGACTCAGCGAGATTAGACAAGTCCAACTACACCTAGAGCAACACAGACACACCCTAAAATCATATAAAGAACACCACCTTGCATGAACACTGACTGCAAATGCTACTTTACCGCTGGCTGCAAAACAGGGCTGTAACAGGATTATATGAAAATATAAAGTATGCACACTACCATTTCGATTTTAGTCTTGCATTGTGCATTGTTTCAAACACAACACAAAATATTTGGACACTTAAACTGCCAAAAGAAAAGGCCATTTTTATATTTAAGGAAAATTTGTTATGCTGGTTGAAAGTCTTTTCACATCCCGATAGCAATCACTAAGTGGTCTAAATGTATTTATATCATCTGTGGAAGGTGTAGGACCATAAAATGTTAATCCAATCATATCCCTCGGTCCGCAGATTACGATAGACTGTCCTACCTGCCTGTCAACGTATGTATTTGCAAACCTCTGCACACCCTGTTTGCACACACATGATACGTCATCAGCGCATTCCATCACACTGTTGCAGACACAGCGAGAATGGAAGGCGTTGTTATTGTAATATTATGAGCTTTGTACTGTAATGTTTTCTCACTGGTGAATGAGACATGAGGTAATTTGACAGCACTGCATTCAACCCTCCACCAATGCCATCTTTCATTGTGTGACTGGTTGGCCTCTGGTATGCCTGTGTGCATTCATGTGTTTTAGAGGAGGTGTGGCTTTGGAGAGTGATTTGCAGGGAGGGTGGGATCTTATGCTTTCAAAGCTACCTTGCTATTGCTAGCCTCTCAGAAATGGCCTACCCTACTTTTAAAGGTATAGTTCACCAAAAAATTGAAAGTCATTTACTGAAGTTGTACCAAACCTGTATGAATTTAATTCTTCTTCTGAACACAAAAGGAATATTTTAAAGAATTTGGGTAAACAAACAGTTGCTGGTCCCCACTGACTTCCATAGTAATTTTTTTCCATACTGTGGAAATCAATGGAGACCATTAAGGTTATAAATGTATCCATAATATTTTATATATATATATATATATATTGTAACTACTGAAATTACATTTTGTAACATTTGTAACTACTGAAATGACAAAATTATTTTTCAAGAGTACATCCTACTGTCATAATTGTTTGGTAGGTTATTTAAGTGCTTAGTCTTAGTACACGAATCATTCAAATTTAAAGGGGTCATATGATGTTGCTAAAAAATAATATTATTTTGTGTATTTGGTGTAATGAAATGTGTTTATGCGGTTTAAGTTTCAAAAAACACATTATTTTCCACATACTGTACATTATTGCTTCTCCTCTATGCTCCGCCTTTCTGAAACGCGTCGATTTTTGCAAAGCTCATCGGTCTGAAAAGT